GGGTAATAGGATAGAACCAAAAGGCAGGGTTAGAGGAGAGAATCCCGTACCTGCAAGCTCACCACCCACCTGAGGACGCTGCCAAATCTGCTCTGCTCTCGGCCACCCCAATTCCACGCTCTGCGTTATATGCAATTCAAGTTGCAGTGGACTATTGGGTTTATATGTAGCACTGGGTTTGTATTTATCCCCGAGCCAGAGACGTGGGTGGAATCCTTAAACCTTTTCCGAAGAGTTAGTCTAGGACTAGGGAACCCAACTAGCATATTATCTTTAGATTTTACAAACAATTTTTTATTTTCAAATCGGGCAAAATATTCCCCAGAGCCGCTCCAGATACGCGGCAAATCGGGAGTGATTCGGCCTGATTTTTCGAGGAACTATCCGGAGTTGGCCGTTGCCCGCCGGATACCACCTTGATCGCCCGCCGGTCTGTGGATCCCCCGGCGACCTGGCACCCCCGAAGAGGGCCAGTTTTCATTACTTCCACCAAAGGCAGAAGTTTCTTCTCCCCTAAGGGATGAGAGCAGCTCCCGCAATCCAAACTCTGGTTTGGAACCGCCCCTTCAGAAGTACGATGAGTCTTCATCTCCTCAGGCGAACCCGAGGTCGCTATTTCCCCAGACGAATCCGAGGTCTCTATCTCACATTCCATCTCCAGCGAAGTGGGGATTTTGAATCTCCAACCACCCCCTGTTTTGCAATTGGAAATTTCCGATGGTTCCATGCTTGGTCTCTCATCATCTATCTCCAGAGAGGTGGGAAGCCGGAACCTCCAACCACCCCCTGCTGTGCTTTTAATTTTCTTGGACAAAGGCCGCCGATCGGCGTCTTCCTCAATATTAACAAACCAGCATTTGTGTTTCTGTCTGCGAACACGGCAGCTCCGTCGCGGGGACTTAACTTCCCTTCACGTTACCAGAGGCTCACTTTCTCTAAACCTCCCACCGCCACAGCCTCCATTAACCACTCGATCCGCCGCTCCCCGGGGCCATTTTCTACCCTTTTCCTGGTTTTCCAGGCTTGCCGCCAGGAAAGCGCCGATGATCCGTAACAGCAGTCTACCAAGGAAGAAGCCGAAGCCGAGGAGAGAGGAGAGAGCTCCTCTCATCAGTTTTTTTTTCCCGCTAGCTAAGGTGAAGAGAAGCACATCGACTATCTTTTTGAGCAGTAGGCAAGAAAATCTCTAACTTTCTGGAATTGGTTATGAACTGAGAAATCCAGTGTTTATGGACGTTGAAAGACAAATTAGACTTATATGGAGTGTGCGCCCCAATTAAACTTTTTGCCGTCCCAATTTAATTTTAAACGTTTGTTCAGTCCGTTTGAGGCACTTGCACCTCAATTAGGTTTTTAGCTGCCTCAATTTGCTCTAAACATCTTTTCAACCAGTTTGAAGCACCCGCGCCACAATTAGTTGTTGTTTTAACTAGAAAAAATCAAATTGAGGTGTGCGCCCTAATTCGCTTATATGGACAATAAATATAGAAATATCTTCGTTCGTAAGCGTAGTATTATGGATAGTATTTTTAAACGTACATTTTAAGGAAAATAATCCGTTAAAAGTTAACGGTGGTAATTGATCATCTCATTTTTCATGTTTTCCTTTCAAAAATTCAACTATACCCATCTTCTCATTTTGGTATATGACAATGCAAGTATAAACACATTTGATGCAAGAATATGAAGGGTGAAGGCAAATATCATTATCATTCACGGGGGCAAGGGCATGTGTATGACAATATTGTGGTCCAAATCATGAGGTTGCTGCCACTAGGCGATAATCTCGCATCATCATGGGCCACTCGTCCCCTCCTATATTTGTCCCGACGCTGCACGTGAATATGCACTATAACATACACACACGAAACACTATATTTAAGGCAAATTGGAATATGGCAATTTGCAACTAAGGATGGATGGAAAAAGGGAATCTTTTTCCTTTCTATGTTGATTTCTGAGGTATGGGGAACTTTGTACTCGCATTCTATATAACCAAATATCTACCCTTATCATATATTATATACGTCATAAGAAGGAACAAAACAAAAAACAACAAGTAAAGTTGGTTATGTTCTGTCCCTTAATTATCCTTATTTGCCCTTGCCTTCAGTTGGTAACGTAACTGGAATACCTGTCTTGCCTTGGCGGTTACTCTGTTTAGTGTTGCGCACCGCCCTCCGGACTCCAGAGACCAGAGCCTCTCTGACATAGTGACATTGGAGACCAGTTTGGCTCTAACAGATCCATTTGTCTCACAATTGTAGCTAGCTAATCTCCCTATACATCAATGGTAATCAGGTACTAATTAATTAGTCAACACTGTAGGGTTGTCATTAGGACCGGAAATGAGCTAGGCTGGTCACAAGCGGTTCGACGTTCGGTCGGGGGGGGGGGGGGG